TTTTTTTTTTTTTTTTTTTTTGGTGCTGGGGATCGAACTCGGGCCCTTGCACTTGCAAGGCAGGTGCTGGAACCCCTGTGCTAAATCCCCAGCCATTGAATAGTGCAGTGTGTGGGACAGGAGCCACCTGTCTTGGAAGAAGGTGGCCCTTTGTGGACTTGGCACCGTGTCTGTCTCTGGCAGCAATTGTGAAATTCCTGTGCCAGGAATGGAAGACTGGCCAAGCACCTGGTGTGGCAGAGCAGAGACGATGAGGTTCTCAGGCTGGGGTGCCCACGACTCCAGAGGGTGGGACGGAGACGGCTCGACCACTGGCCCTGGGACAGAGTGAATGTATGCCCGCCTGTGGCTGCCTGGAGTTGGGCTCCTTTGCACCCAGGAGCAGGGCCACTGGGGCAGAGCCAGACCCCCACAGTGGCCGGTCGGTCTTGGTGGCTTGGGTCTCTGACTGGAGCTGGGCCGTGGGACCCACTCACTCCAGCTTTTAAAATGTGCTTTGGGGTGAAAATCAAGATCCAGTTATTCCACAAAATGACCCGGACCCACCTTGTCCTTGCTGAGGCAGGCATGGCAATCAGGCTGTCGGGGTGGCTGCAGGGCCTGGGTGACCAGGCGTTGCCGTGGCAATTGGGCTATCAGGGTGGCTGCAGGGCCCAGGTGACCGTGTGTTGCTGTGCAGGGTGTGGAGGGCACAGGCCTGGCCTTCATCGCCTTCACTGAGGCCATCACCAAGATGCCAGTGTCCCCTCTGTGGTCGGTGCTCTTCTTCGTCATGCTATTCTGCCTGGGCCTCTCCTCCATGTTTGGGAACATGGAGGGGGTAGTCGTGCCCATGCAGGACCTCAAGGTCATCCCTGAGAAGTGGCCCAAGGAGCTGATTACAGGTGCGTGCGTCGTGGGGCATGGATGAGCACCCGGGACAGGGACACCTGGGCTCCACCCTGAGGCAGCTGTGCCCTCTTCGGCCTGCAGGCCTCATCTGCCTGGGCAACTACCTCATCGCCTTCATCTTTGCCCTGAACTCGGGCCAGTACTGGCTGTCCCTGCTGGACAGCTACGCGGGCTCTATACCCCTGCTCGTCGTGGCCTTCTGCGAGATGTTTGCTGTGGTGTACGTGTATGGCATAGACAGGTAGGTGGGTGGGGTGGGCTTGCCCGGCAGGAAGAACAGGCTGTGGGGTTCCCCTGCCACAGTCTGCAGTGTCCCTCCCTGCGGGCACACTGGCATCATGCAGGAGGAGAGAGGCTGGGTCATGAGTCCCACCCAGATGGGAGCCTTCCTCCTTCTGCTGCCCTGACCCAGCTCCAGAGACAGGAGCTAGCTAGCGACCTGGGGCATCCGGGGAGGAAAACAGCAACAAGAGTGAAAATGCAGGCGCAGGGCCACGTAGCCAGGCAGAGAATCAGACTCCACCCATGAGGCCTCGGTCAGGTCCCAGAGGCAGCCCTAGGGCTGGAGCGCAGGGAGCGTTGAGGGTGCGGCGCAAGGAGGACAGCCTGGGCCTGGGCCTCGGGTTCCCACAGGGAGGGACTGGGCACCACACCCCCACTAGGCCCAGGGGCTGGACAGTGCTGGTGAGGCAGCGCAGGGCTCAGCCTCTCGAGGAGCAGGGACAGCACCAGGAATCCAGTGCCACTATCGAAGCCCGCTTGCTACCCTCTGCTGTGGCCAGGTGGGGGCTGATGCAGCCCCAGGTGTGTGCTCACGTGAGTGTGAGCACTTCCAAGTTACTGAGACACGAGTCCACGGCATCCTGGTGGGGAGCATCAGCACGCCAACAGCAGGGCAGTGACAGATGGCTGAGGGTTGGGGCGGCCACTCTGTCACAGGGTCTTGGCCAGGAACATCTAGGAGGAAATGGGGTGGCTGTGTGTGGGACGGGGACTCTGAAGTCTGAGCATTGTGGCCACGTCAGTCTGAACAGCCTGAGGATATGAAGACCGCGGTGGCACAGGCTGAGGGACAGACTCGCTGGCTGAGCTCCCACTGTCCAGGGGTCCCGGAGGCCCTGGGCAAACCCACCATCCCTCCTGATTTCTGCCAGCAGGGAACTCCTCGTGGGGAGAGCCTGGCACAGTATGGGGTGGGGGTGACAGGGGTGGGGGAGGCGAGTTGGTGATCTCCCTGACCTCCCCAGAAGCCACACAGCAGGCGGTGGTGGAGGATGGGGCAGTAAGGGCTCTGAGGCATTGGCATTGAGCTGCCACTCTGCCCTGTGGAAAGCGTCAGGCGCCATTTTCCAGTGCAGAGAGCCTCAGTGGGCTGAGGTGAGGCAGGCATAGGTGACAATGCCCTTCTGGCTTCTGCAGGTTCAACAGGGACATCGAGTTCATGATCGGACACAAGCCCAACATCTTCTGGCAGGTCACATGGAGGCTGGTCAGCCCGCTCATCATGCTGGTCATCTTCCTCTTCTTCTTTGTGATCCAGGTCAATAAGGAGCTCACGTACACCGTGTGGGACCCCAGCTATGTAAGTGCCGGGTGCAGCATCCGTCCCCCAGAAGGAGGGGGGAGGAAGGGGGTGTGGGCACAGGAAGCCTAGTTCTGCTCCACCCAGAAGAACCGGGAGGTGGGTGCCACAGGCTGCAGGGGCCTCCTTGCTGCTCACCTCTCTCCCCCAGGAGGAGTTCCCAAAGTCCCAGAAGATCCTGTACCCAGGCTGGGTGACCGCCGTCGTGGTGGTTGTGGCTGGGGTGCCCTGCCTCATCATTCCTGGCTTTGCCATCTACAAGTTCATCAGCAGATACTGGCAGAGGCCACAGGACCACCAGGGGCTGGTCAGTGCACTGTCCACGGCCTCCATGAACGGGGACCTGAAGGGCTGAGTGGGGCCTGTGTGGCAGTGCACACGCCGGCATTGCATGTGCGCACGCAGACACCCGTGGGTGCATATGTGCATCTGAGTGTGCGTGACAGCACACGTGTGCTGTTTGTATGTGTGTGCATGTATATATGTACAGTGAGCTTATGTATACAAGTGTGTGGCTGCATTTCTGATTCGATGTCCATATGCACACATGTTACATGTATGAGGATATTTCTGTGTGCATATGTTCCTGTAGATCGTGTTGTGCTCACACCTGTATGCAAGTCTGTTATACATGTGGAAACAAGGCTGTGCATGTGTGTGCTTATTCATACATGTGTATTTGCAGTGGGAGAGGCATGTGTTGTGCATATAAATGCATGTGCATCACATGCGAGTGTGTGTGTTGTGTACACAAGTGCCTACCGTGCACATGTGTGAAGCATGTGTGTTTACACATTCACGGCACACATTCCCACCCCTGGGGCAAGCTGCCCTCTGCACTTACCCTCCCAGCCGTGGCAGGGCACGGACTATGCCCGGCAGCCCTGGTGTGGCTACCCCGGCCCCGCACACACCACGGTCCGCAGCCTAGGGTTGCCGGCCCTGCTTCTCCATCCGCACCCAGGGCTTCTCAGAGTGGCCCTCGCTGCCTGCCTACTCACTCCCACTCCTGGCTTCTTCAGAGTGGTAGTCAAGGCCCTTTTGCTGCCTGAGGAGAAGCCCAAGGAGGGTGGTCTTGAGGCAGAGAAGACGGCCTGGCCGATTTGCACAGGGTCGGGCCTGGCAGAGTCCAGCCTGGTGAATTCCAAGCCATTTAATCATTGCCCCAGCTGCACAGTCGGGTGAGCAGCTCAGCGGAGCCCAGGGGGACCTGCCCTGGGCTCCTGAAAGATCATCAGCTTCCAGCCGGAGGCTGGGGAACAGGGTGAAACCCCTCACCTGACACATCGTGGGTGCCCCCCTCACCCTGACGCAGTGACCATGACACCCCAACCCTTGTGCCCCCAGAAGCTGGGCTCAGCAGCTGCCCTCCCAGACGTGGGCAAGCTGTGCTGATTTGACTCCAGCTCAGCACCACCAGGGTCACCCTGCTTCCCGTGGAAAATCTAAGCTTAAGTCGAACTGGCCTTTCTCACAGCAAGGCTGACAAGGATGGGTGCTGGTACCACGGCCCCTCCTGGGCACTTTGGCCAGCTGCCCCTCTAGACTTCAGGGTTAGCCCTTGATCCTCGAGTCCTTGCTCTGGGCCACGCCAGCTGGCCCCTTGGGCACCCGACCTGAGCCCTGCAGTGGAGGAGGGTGGCTGGGGTCAGCCATCGTCAGGGGCACAGCACGGAGGAGCTCTGACTGGGCTGGGGTGTGCTACCGAGTGCTCCACAGTGCCCTGCCCGGTGGAACCAGGGAGGCTGTCTATGGCCTGGCAGGGGTAGCCATCTGCTGGCTCCACCCTGGGTCGTGGGACCAGGTGCGGTTTGTGGGCAGGGTTTCTCTGTCTAAATAAACCACTCTGGTCTCACTGTCGGCTTGTGATTGTGTGGCAGGTGGCACCCACTGACCTCCGGCAGGTGAGAGGGGCCTTGAACAAGGGTCTGTAAGGGGGCAGGCTGCAGGTGAGAAGGGCTGCAGTGCCTGCCTGCAGGTGACCCGTGACCCAGGGGAAGCCACCCACAGTCCTTTCACCTCTCTGCGCCTCTGCAACCCTTCATCACCTGGCCTCGCACCCATGGGCTGTGCTCCAGGACACACATGTTAGAAACCTGGCCTCCCTTGAGAGGCCAGCGCCCTGGAGTGTAAGACTTTCGGGTCCGGGCCCTCGGCCTGGCCCTAGGCATGGTGCTGAGGGGGACCCCGAGCTCAGAGGGACTCAGTGTGGGCCTCTGGGACAGACCCCTGCAGGGGGCCTGAGCATGGGAGGGCTCGACACCAAACCTTCGGGTTGCAGGGCACAGGGGTGGGTGCCCCAGCCTCCGGAAGCAGCTGGGTAAGGGGAGCCCCAGCTGGCCCCCAGGTCCCATCCATGGCAGGTGGTGGCTACCTGCAGTGGAGCCAGGCTCAGTGCTGTGGTCTTTGCGAGAAGCCACCCTGGGGACACTGAGGATGGGCAGGGGACGCCCCTGTGTGACCCCCATGGGTTGTGCACCACTGTGGTCAGATACAAGTCTAGGTACAAAATAGTAAGTAGGGTTTGTGTGTGTGCACAGGCACATTACACTGTGGTGAAGATTGAACCCAGGGCCTTCACACTGAGCTACAAACCCAAGCCTTTTTAATTTAATTTCTTTGGGCGGGGGTTACTGACAATCAAACTCAGGACCTTGTGTTTGCAAGGCAGGCAGCAGAACCACTGAGCTAAATCCCCAGCTCTTCATTTAATTTCTTTGAGACAGGGTCTTTAAGTTACCGAGGTAGGGCTCCAACTTTCAATCTTCCTTCTCAGCCTCCCAGAACAGATCAGCTTTTCAACACCGGCTGGATGTTTCCTGGGAGTCCAGAGAGGCCTTGGGGTGGGCAGCTACTGTGGAACAGCCCTGGGTTATGCTGCTGGCAGCCAGCTATGCTGAGGGCCTGGGCTGTGAAATGTGGGACAGGGCTGGGGACACAGCATTGGGAACGGGCTGCGGTGGAGTTAGGAAGCAGGCCCAGTTACCAATTAACCAAATTCCTTTAAATAAATGAGAAAATACACCAGGGAAGCTGACACTGCCCAGCTCAGAGGCAGCCAGGCTTGAGGCCAGCGAGGCGCCTGCCCACCCACCCACACCAGCACCCCACCCTGCACCTGGGGTGCCAGCCAGCATGGCCCAGGCCCCGGCCCCGGGCTTGCTCGTGGACGCAGGCGAGGACAGGAGGCCTCAGTGGGACAACAAGTTCCAGTACCTTCTGAGCTGCTTGGGCTTCGCCGTGGGGCTGGGAAACATCTGGAGGTTCCCATACCTGTGCCAGACCTACGGGGGAGGTGAGCAGCGTGCGTCCCCTCGGGATCTGTCTCCTGGGCAGGAGCAGCTGTCCTCCCGGCCTGAGGGCTGTCAGCCTGGGAAGGATCCATGATCACCAGTTTTCCTGCTGCACGAGTGTCAGGGGGACTGGGGCCAACTCCTCCCCGGGTTCTCAGGGTGGCATCTAGGAAACACCCTCCCCAGACCAGCCTCCCCGAGATGGGGTCCCCCCAGAGCTGGGCTGCATGGCACCCGCACGACGGCTGGTGACGCTCTGTTAGTCGTTAAGCTCGCTAACCCAAAAGCCCCTTAATTAGAGAGCAGTGCCGTGGTCGCTCCACTGCATGCCTGGGTCATGGCAGGGGACAGGCAGGCACCGCTGCCTCAGGAGATGACATGCATGGGGTCCAGTGCCCCCCCCATAACACAGCCCTGCTCTGTGGGGCTGGGCTGGGACTCTGGGTCTTGGGCCCCCTTCCTGCCCAGTGGCACCTCTGGCTTTTGTCATAGAAATTATCTACTGCTGGAAATGGGGGAGCATCTGTCACCTCAGGGCTGGGACACCTCTTTCTTACCCGTTTCTGGGCCTGGGAAATGGGTGGGGTGGGCAGAGAGCCAGTCCTTCCAAGAGTGACCGGGTGCCTCGGCACAGGGTGGACAGAGCACTGGTGATGCTCACTTTTGAGTTTGCTTGAACCCCTCTCTACCAAATGCAAATATTTCCTCTCCCAGGTGTAATCACGCAGCTTTAGACACATTCTCTTCAAAGACGAGACTGTCAGACAAACATGTTATAAATGTGGCAAGATATTTAAATAGAGTCTATAGCAGCCAGGTGCAGGGAGTGTACCTGTAATCCCAGCTACTCGGGAAGCTGAGGCAGATGACCCCAAGTTCTAACCCAGACTGGCTCGCTATGGAGACCTTGACTCAAATTTAAAAAAAAATGAAACCTTAAAGGGCTGGGATATAGCTCGGTGGTAGAAGGCCCCAGGTTCTCTCCCCAACACTACACAGACAGCCAAAAGGTTTACAGTGACTTTTCCACTAAGTGTCCCACTGTGGGAGTGGTTTATTTGCCTTCAGCACGGAGTCAAAGTAGGTGAGCGGCAGACGATGAGTGAGAGCCAGGTCTCCCCCAGCATCTGCGGAGGGCTTCAGTGTCCAGCCTGGAGGCTTTGTCATGCTGTGCACCAAGCTGGCCCAAACACACGCTCTCAGAAGTGTCTGCAGACTGCCTCATGCTTGACTCAGGATTCCTCAGCTGCCCAGGGTCCCACAGTTGTGCAGCAAGTCCTCTGGGTCCCTGCCTACGAGGGTGTGCCTGGGGTGTGTGTGTGTGTGTGTGTGTGTGTGTGTGTGTGTGTGTGTGGTGTCCAGGGGGGAAGCCATGTGGCCAAGCACAGGTGAGAGCACCCCTGCATAATCTGCTCCTCGCCCACTTTATTGTGCGCCCACTCCCAGTCCCCATGCAGCCCTGTTGGACCTCCTGTGGCTTTAGCTGCTGCAGAACTTCCTCTCCACAACAGTGTCTCGGGGCCTCAGTGTGGGACCCTGGTGAGGGCCTCGGCCAGGGTCTCCGGGACGTTCAGCAGTCAGTGCTGCCTGTTGGCAGGTGTGGGCTTTCTACGCGCCAGTGTCAGCCTCCCCCACTCAGCAATCTCCTCTGCTCTCCCCATGTGTCCTGTGCTGGGGCAGCTGGGTTGGGCCATGCCAGGCTGAGCCAGGGGAGCTGGATCTGCAGGCTGACCATCAGGGACAGGTGTGGCCTGCTTCTTACAAATGGTGACAAGAGCCTGCTGGAGCCCACATGGGTCAATGTCCAGGTCAGAGGCTGCCTGGAGACGGCACTCACACTTGCTTGCAGCTGGGGAGGGGGACAGGCAGAGTCCCGGTGACAGTTCACTGGAAGGACGCAGCGGCGGTCCTGGCCAGCTCCAGAGCCCTGCACCGTCTGCCCGGCCAGGGCATTGGCCCAGGGTGCAGGCTCCTTCCTGGGACCAGGGTCCCTGTTCAGCTGGGCAGAAGCAATGGGAGGTAGAGTCTGCAAAGTGGCCCTTCCTGACTCCCCAGGGGTGGGGGACATCCTGCCTGCAGGACCTAGGCCCAGGGGAGAGGAGGTAGCTGAGTGGTGTCACTCAAAGGTGAATCAACCCTCAGCCAGGGACGGCAGAAAGGCCAGCAGGAACCTCCCGTGCCAGGGGTTGTGGATTTGCTCACCCTTCATCTCTGTGAACTCGTGGTTTGGGAAGCTGTTCCTAGCAGGAGCCACTTCCACCCGGGAGGCAGTGTCACAGGTGCTAGGCACCTGTCCCCCACGTTGTCCCCAGACAGACCCTGGGTTCTCACCCTGGCCACCTACAGCCCCAGAGGGCGGATCCGGGGAAGCCACAGTGACACTTGGCCGGGGCTGCTGTCCACCCCCAGTCCTCAGTCTCCGGGTCAGTGGTGATGCCGCCGAACCCAAGCCAGCATCGGTCTGGCAGCTGGGTACCAGGTGCCCTGACTCTTGCCAGGGATCCCAGTTCAGCCTGCTGTGACTGTGGGGACCTCATGCCCTGCAGGTGCCTTCCTCATCCCCTACATCATCGCCCTGGTCTTTGAGGGGATCCCGCTCTTCCACATAGAGCTCGCCATTGGCCAGCGCCTGCGGAGGGGCAGCTTTGGGGTGTGGACAGCCATCTCCCCCTACCTGGGAGGAATAGGTGAGCACGGTGGGACCCAGGTAGGACCTGGGGATGGGGCAGCCCTGCAGTCCATGCAGCTGAGGGGCCCCGGAGGCCCCTGGAGCCGCATGAGGGAGGCTTCCATTTTTACGTATGACTGTCCATTTTCCCATGCGTGGGGCGCAGGCCTGGGCTGCTTCACCGTGTCCTTCCTGGTTAGTCTGTACTACAACACTGTGCTCACGTGGGTGCTGTGGTACCTCCTCAACTCCTTCCAGCAGCCGCTGCCCTGGGGCGCCTGCCCGCCCAACCTCAACAGGACAGGTGAGGACACAGGCGAGAGGACGGGCGATACGGGGTGCCAGCCGGGCTCCTTCTCCTCTGGGGCCTCCAGGCTCCCGGGGCTGGCTCGTCACAGCCAGAAAGGGCCCCGGGCGGTGGGATGGTGCAGGTCCAGGGCTCGGCGGCCAGCATTGCGGAGGGCTCCTCGCAGGGCTGGAGCAGGAGTGTCGGGACAGCAGCGCGGTGAGCTACTTCTGGTACCGGCAGCGGGACAGCAGCGCGGTGAGCTACTTCTGGTACCGGCAGACCCTGAACGTCACAGCCGACATCTCGGACAGCGGCACCGTGCAGTGGCGGCTGCTGCTGTGCCAGGCTGCCAGCTGGGCGGTCGTGTACCTGTGCGTCAGCAGAGGCATCGAGACCACGGGCAAGGTGGGCCCTGGGGGACTGCGGCAGGCACGGGTCCCCTGAGCACCGGTCCCTTGTCCCTGAGGGCCGAGGGCAGCCCAGCGGTGTCTGCGCAGCTCTGGCTCCTCCCTCCCGGGCTCTGCCCTCGCACACCACCTACTGCGCTGCCGGTGGTGGTCATGTGGCTGTAAGCTCTGCTTCACCCTCTCTTCCGATGCTCACCTTTCCAGTAGTGAAGCTTGCAGTGCGCGGTGACCACACTAGTCACGCAGAGTGGAGCGTGGGCGACGACACGTGTCTTCGTTCTCTCTCGCGCCCCGCCCCGCCGTCTCTGCTTCCCTTCCCATCCCCACGCTTCCTGTCGTCTGCCTTTTACTTTGCTCGCTAGTTTATTCACACTTTGGGTTTCTCATACGAGAGACCACGTGATGTTTACACTGTGTCCGATTCAACTCACTTAACATTATGCTCTCAAGTGCATCCGTCTTCCTGCAAAGGTGCCAGGGCTTTGCTCTGGGCAGACAATCTTTTAGACATCCTGGAGTGTCCGCCTGGGGCAGCATGAGGCTGGCACACGCGGCTCTTTCTGGGCAGAGGCAGAGTCCAGGTACCTGGGCATCGCCTCCCAACTGCGGCCACCGCACAGATCTTCGGCTACCAGCCCTGGTGCTGCCGAGGTGACAAGTCCTGTCCTGTGAGGGTTGGATAGCCGAGGCACCAAGGGCCGGGAATCACTAACAACCCTCTTCTGTGCAGTGCTGCGCCTTGAGCCCAGAGCCCCACACGTGCCAGGCAGTGCTCCCCACCGAGCTGCTCCCCAGCGCGGACGCCCCCTCTGGTGTGGGCCCAGTGAACAGGCCCAGCCAGGCCCAGCTGAGGACAGGGCTGGTCGACACAGGGGTGGGACTCTGTGTTGGAGTGGAGGGCACTGGTGGCTGGTCAGGGCCTGAACCTCAGGTAGTGGAGGCTGGAGCAGAGCTGGGGGGGGGCACGGAGAGGGCCAGGCCCAGCTCCCACCAGGAGCCTCCAGTCCTCTGAGGCTGCAAGCCCCCAGGTCAGTGCCTAATTATGCCCATAGGACCACAAGTTTTACAACTGGGGCATGCACGCTGATTGCAAAGCTTCTGAGCTGAGCCTGACGCTCCCACATGACCCCTGCCTGACCCTGTCTGACCCCAGCCTAACCCACCTGACCCCGTCTGACCCCAGCCTAACCCACCCGACCCCATCTGACCCCAGCCTAACCCACCCGACCCCATCTGACCCATCTGACCCCACCTGACCCCGCCTGACCCTGCCTGACATGCCTGACTCCAGGGCCTGCTGCTGGTCCTGGTGCTTCGCCCCTCCTGCTTCTCCCAGGCCCCTCTGGTGAGGGCCCATGCCCAGGCCCACCCTCCTCCTCACAGGCAATCTACTTCACCGCCTTGTTCCCGTACCTGGTCCTGACCATCTTCCTTGTCAGAGGCCTGACCCTGCCTGGTGCGACGGAGGGCTTGGCTTACCTTTTCACCCCTAATGTAAGTGCCCCCCCTGCCGGCAAATGCCCCTCCCTGGCAAGGTCCCCAGAGGCAGCAGCTCCAGGGTAGTGGGGTGGAAGGAGATTTGGAGCACAGGCCGCTTGCAGGAGGACGGTGGTCAAGCAGCAGACTGGGTCATAAGGGATGTCAAGGTGGAGAGGGGCACACAGGGCCTGGGGAGAAGGAGCCAGGTTCAGAGGAGGCCGGCTGGGCCCCAGGTGTCACCCTGGCCCAGCACCAGCCTCACTCCATGGGCTCAGGTCCAGGGGAGACTGTGCCCTCGCGGGCCACCTTAGACCGTCCGGGAGGGCCCAGGGGCTGCAATGGGCATGGGTGTGCACAGACCCCTGGGTACTGTGAGCAGGTGGCCTTGTGCTCAGTCTTCAGCTGTCCCAAGTGCCAGGTCTGGAGCAGATGAAGCCCCAGGCTGGTGCTGCCCACACAGTGATCACAGACAGGGCCGCTCGCCCCGGATCCAGGCTGCCCTTGGCGAGTGAGCAGCTCACCTGCTGATGCCTGAAGAAGCCGGGGAAGGTTCAGGGTGCCAGGCCATCCATGGGCCGGGTTGGCCTGTGGCACAGCGAGGCTCCTCGCCTGGCCCAGGTGCAAATTCTCCTGAACCCCCGGGTGTGGCTGGATGCAGCCACACAGATTTTCTTCTCTCTGTCCCTGGCCTTTGGAGGACACATCGCGTTCGCAAGCTACAACCCGCCCAGGTAGGCGGCTGGCCGGGGTGTGGACACCTTCACAGCCAGGCACCAAGCCAGCAGGGCCTGGGGACAGGTGCCAGGTGCCTCTCTCCCGGGAGCTTCCCTACTGGGAGCCCAGCTGGGGTCTCAGCCCAGGCTCCCCCGATGGAGGCACGTGTCATCGGCCCTACGGCTCCAAAGCGCAGCCGTGTTTGCCAGGGAGGGCCGGGTGTGACAAGGGGACGTGGTGCACAGAAGTCCTAGCGGCTGCACAGGCCGAGGCAGGGGAGGACTCCTGAAGTGCTCCTGGTCTGATGGGCAGACAGCTGCGGGCAGCTGCTCTGAGTGAGGCTCCTGGCCCTGCTGCCTGTGGCCGAGTCCTCTGACAAAGCTCCTGTCGCTGTCAATCATGAGGCCTGGGCACCACTCTCAACCTCCTGGCTTTTCCTTTTCATGGCCAACATGAGCGACTCTATTTTCATGACAACTTTCATGTTTCACACTGGTAGCACACCCACCAAAAGATGGATGACACAGGCCATAAAAGTGCAAACACAGGGTGTGTTGCCCAGTGGTCATAGAGCAGAGGCCCTGTGTGCTGCAGCACTCCAAGGGGACACTACCACCAGAGGCGGAGTGGGCAGGCAGTCCCAGGGGCCCAGGCTGCAGGAGCCAGCTGTGTCCACAGGGTCCTGACGGCACGTGCTTGTGCCCAGGAACAACTGCAGGCGGGATGCCGTGACCATCGCCCTGGTCAACAGCGCGACCTCCCTGTATGCGTCCATCACCGTCTTTTCCATCATGGGCTTCAAGGCGACCAGTGACCACGGGCAGTGCCTGGACCGGTGAGTGCTTCCCTCGTGCCCACAGAGCAGTACCTGTACTGGGCCCAGCGGGTGCGGGGTGAGTGAGGGCCCACTGCACCGAGCCACTCGCCAGCCGCTGAGTCCTTGCAGGAACATCCTCAGCCTCATCAATGAGTTCAGCCTCCCGGAGCAGAGCATCTCCAGGAACAGCTACCAGGCCGCGCTGCTGCATCTCAATGCCACCCAGCCAGGGAGGGTGGCCCGGCTGCCCCTGCAGGCCTGCAGCCTTGAGGACTTCCTGGACCAGGTACCTGTGGGGCTGGCCAGGTGGCTGGGGTATCCTAGTCTGCCTGTGTCCCAGGAGGGGCCCTGCCATAGCTCTGGGGGCCAGGATGATAGCAGGGAGTGGGCACGGCCAGTGCCCTGATCCAGAGAGTGGCCGGGCTTGGGTCATGGGGGCCGTGGACTAGGTGGCACAGGTCCTGAGGTCCAGGACCCCTCTCCCCTTCGCACAGAGGCTAGGAAAAGGGGAGAAATGGGCCCTTGTCCCTGAGGGCCAGGTTGTACCCACACTGGGGGTGCATGTGTCGCAGGGAGCCTCAGGCCCCGGCCTGGCCTTCATCATCTTCACCGAGGCTGTGCTGCATATGCCGGGGGCCCCTGCATGGGCCCTGCTCTTCTTCGGGATGCTCTTCACCCTGGGGCTGTCCTCCATGTTCGGGAACATGGAGGGGGTCGTCACGCCGCTCCTGGACATGGGGGCCTTGCCCCGGTGGGTCCCCAAAGAGGTCCTGACTGGTGAGTGGACGCTCCGCAGGGCCCGGCCCCATCTCTAGCCTCCAGGCCTGCTGCCCACTCTGCTCACGCTGCACACGGAGTCCAGGATCCCGGGGACGGCCTGGGTTCCGGAGGTGGGAGACCTGCCCGTGTACCCCACCTACTCCGCTGTCCCCAGGGCTGGCCTGCCTGGTCTGCTTCCTCTCGGCCACCTGCTTCACACTGCAGTCTGGAAGCTACTGGCTCGAAGTCTTTGACAACTTCGCAGCCTCCCTGAACCTGGTCGCCTTCGCCCTCCTGGAGGTGGTTGGAGTCATTTATGTGTATGGCATGAAACGGTGAGCTGCCTTCCTACCGAGGACCCCCTGGGCCAGCAGGGTGGGAGGGCACAGGTCTGCGGTGACCCCTTGGCTGCCCAGACACGAGCTCAGCCTGGGGTGCCTGTGGAGGCAATAGGCTCCTGCCACTCCAGACCTCCCTCCGAGGGCGAGAGTCCACCGGGCACAGCAGGTGCTGAGCCTGAGTCTGTGTCCTGCGCAGGTTCTGTGCCGATGTTGAGTGGATGACCGGGCGGTGGCCCAGCCTCTACTGGCGGGTGTCATGGCGGGTAGTGAGCCCCCTGCTGCTGCTGGGCATCCTCCTGTCCTACGTCATCCTGCTGGCCCACAGGTCACCCAGCTACAAGGCCTGGAACCCCCAATATGTAGGTCCTTCCTGCATGGAAATGGGGGGCCTGGGATCCTGGGTGTGGCCTGGCAGGGTGGGGGACCCGCACGTGGACACTCATGCCCTATGTGACAGTATGGCCTGGCCACTTCTGGCAGCTAGAGACATAGTTGTGCCCACTGGGAGGCCTGAGGCCACCAGGCTCCAGTGTCCCTAGTGGGACAGAGCCTTGTGGAACCCCGTGACCTGGGTTAGGGGAGTGGGGACCCCGCAGTCTGGACTCCTGCCTCCCTCAGGGGAAACTGCTTGCTGCAGGTATGACAGGGAGATCTCCAGAGGGTCCTCATGCCAGCCCAGCCAGGCAGGGAGGGCACAGAGCAGGGCCTGCACTCAGTGCCCCCTGGTGGTGGCACGAAGCTCCTCTCCAAGCCTAGCAGTGGCAAAGGCAGGGACAGGGCCCCAGAAGAGTTCTGTGAATCCACACAGAGATGCTGAGGAATCTCAGTATAATCAGGACAGAGTGGAGACAGAGCAGCCCGGCCTTGACCCCAAGGTTCCTTGCCCCGAGTGGCTCCACCCAACTTGGAACTCCAGAGCCTTCACTCCTGGGCTTGGGGGAGGAAGGGGCACTGCTGACCCCACTCCAGTCTCCCGCCCCGAGTGCCACAGCTGAGTGTGCCCTCCTGTCCCACAGGAGCTGTTCCCATCTCGGGAGGAGAAGCTCTACCCCAGCTGGGTGCTGGCTATCTGCATGCTCCTATCCTTTCTGCCTCTGCTGTGGGTCCCAGCGTCTGCCCTGGCCCAGCTGCTGGCCCAGCACAGGCCGAGGCAGGAGGACACATAGTCGGACACTGGCCTGAAGCTGCAGGAATGGCAGTGGCTACTGAGGGGTCTGGGGCAGGGGCAGCCAACGTGGGGACGAGGAACCTCTGGCCCTGCAGCCACTCAGACCCTCCCCATTACACACTCTGCACTGAATGAAGCCATGTGGTTGGTGCTCCCCAGCCGTGTCTGGGGTCAAGGGTGCCCCCAAGTGGGAGACAGAGATGGCCTGGGAACTCCAGATCTGGGCCACAACAGCACTTGGCCCAGGCCCGCCGGTCCCCTGGGCACAGCTGTGTGGCTGTTTGCCAGCCCATGAATCCACGCTGACTGGGGCAGTATTAAGTGGTCCCACCTGGCAACAAGGCAGGGATATGCCACTGCCTGCGGGAGCGTCTGTGTGGCAACTGCAGGGACCCTGGCCCAGGGTGGCCCTCAAGAACAAGCTGGGCTTGGAGGGGACCCGGCCAGCAGAAAGTGCCCATCCTTCCCAGCAAGTGGGATGATCCGGGGGGCAGCAGAGGGCCCAGATGTCCCCAAAGGTCACCAGGGGCCACAGGCCGATGACCTGTTGCTGTTTCTGAGACACATGGAACACTGCTGCTTCTATTCCCAAAGTGGCTAACTCTGGTCTATGAGGATTCAAACAGGCTGGTGATCAGCAAGGTCCCGACTCCCCGGGCCAGGCGAGCACTACGCTAATTCACTCCTGTGCTCCTTCATCCCTTCTCTCTCCTGCTCTGTCTTCTTGCCAAGCCCCCAGCCACAACCCTGACTTCAAGCCCTGAGAAGGTGTCCTCACCCCGGTTCCTGTCCCCTTCCTCCCCAGCAGCGCAGGGGGCCGGGCTCAGGGGTAAGCACAGGGCCCAAGATGTGGAGCTCACCTCCGTATCGGGAAATATGTGACCTGCTCCCTGTGTGGTGCCTGCAGGAAGTCCTAGCTGGGCAGTGCTGTCCATGGTGCTGGGGACCAGGGAGGCTGCGGGCACTGGGCGAGTGCAGGGCTGGGGGTAGGTGCCCAGTCCACATCCAGCCCAAATCCCAGGGTAAACAAAGGCACAGCCGTGGCTGCCCACCCGCAGAGTATGGAGCCAATCCCGGGTGTCCCCACCCAGCACACCCTGAGCCTCGGGGGGCACCTTGTAGGTGTCCCCTCCCACTGTCACCACCCTCCCCAGGCCCACTGAGAAGGCAGCAAGCACTTGAGGATGAGCATGTTGCAGAAGGGGCTGCTTCACAGGGAAGCCAGGACATAGCAGCGCTACAACGCCACCTGGTACCATCACTAGAACCCAGCACACACCCCTGCCAGCCAGTCCTCAGCACAATGGACACAAGATAACCAAGGGCACTCGGTGGCACTCAGGTGGCTAAGCCCAAGGGTGGGCGCCAGGCCCCACTAGACCCTGAGCCCCACTAGACCCGCTGCTCTGCTCTAGCACCTCTCCCTGATGTGCAGCTCCCTTTCTGGTTTGTGACAGCCCGCTGTAGTCTGGACATCACACTGCAGGAGAGGCTGCTGGCTGAGCCCGGCATGGAGCAGGGGCAGGGCGAGGTGTCCCCAGGCCTCTGTGAGGGACGGAGCCTGGCAAGTCCAACAGCAGGTGGCCCACGGTGTTGCCATGGATGAACAGACATGGGTACAGTGACTGCTGGCCAGAGCACAGGGATTGGAGTGTGGCCCTAACAGCACTGGGGACACGTTCCCACTCTACCGCAGGGCCCGCCAATCCTGCCATGGGCCCTAAAAGGCAGAGGTGGGGGCTGCTGACAGCAGGGTGTGGCCGGCAAGCAGCTTTAGCCATGGTTGGCTTCACATCTGCACTTTGAAAACTCCTGGGGGGCTGAGTAGGGCCCCTGGCCCCCAGCCTGGTGAGACTTCTGTATGAGACGTCACAGAAGTGGCACTACAAGAGAGCGACCTGCTGGGGAGGTTGGCAATGGCAGCATCCATACTCTCCCTGGACCACAGCATCTGCAGCCACTGGACAAGGAAGGCGGGGACAGAGGGCCCAGGATGCTCATCTCCAGAGAACTCCCCTCTGCCCGCATGCTTGGCACAGTGTGGATGAAACAGGGTAGGGTGAAGGGTGGACGGGAGGCTGATAGACGTATGGCCAGGTGGCCCGGTCACGGTGGTAGTGTGTCCACCCGACCCAATGTGCAGGTGTTCAGGGCTACGGGCAGAGGCCTTGAGGGCCCAGAGGCTGCCTGGGCCATCCATGGAGGACAGAGCAAGCAGGCCTAGCCCTGCATGGCCGCACCTCGGTGCCAGGTGGCCTGCCCTGGGGAACACTGGGCTGGTCCTCAGACGGGCTGGGTTGTCACCTGACCAGCAGTGGTGAAACGGTGCCCCCCAACCCTCTCCCTTCTCGGGGGCAGCTATGAGGGATTGGGGTACAACAGCTTCAGACAGGGCTGTTGGTCCAGAGTGACAGCCCCAGGACCACCTGCAGCCTCAGGTTCCCTCCCCACCCAGTCCAGTCCTGCTCCCCCTCTGCAGAGGGGCCTCTCAACCCCAGGGACAGAGGTCACTGTGCCCCCACAGCTCTTTGGAACACTCAGCAGCTTTGGGGAACAGCCCCCCACAGAGCATGGCTGGGACCCACACAGGGAGGGTTCCACAGCAGTGGCAGGGTGTGGGAGCACCCTAGCAGCACGGTGCCCTACCAGAAGCCACGCACCCCAGGTGGGACGAGGGAGCTGGGGAGCAGAGGCCCAGCATGGCCCTGTCACACTTGGGCTGCAGGAGGGAGACCACAGAGGACACTGCCCAGACAGACTCTCCCAGGTGCATCATCACTGCAGGGCCACAGGCTTGGGGATCCTGGGTGTGCCTGACTGGCTGGGGGCCTGGCCCAACCCAGGTGACACTGCAAGGCTCCGTTCCTGCCCGTGGGGACCCTAGCTCGGAGGGGCATGGAGCTACACAGACCCCCCATCCAGACCCATCGGGCTCAGGCAGTCAGAGCCAGGAGGGCAAGAGGCCCATCCCAGCTCCCAGGGCATGGGTTCCATCTGTGCTGCAGGTGTCATCACATGCAGTCCCCAGGGCAGCCAAGGCTCTGCAAGTCACTGATGCCAGAGGCCTGTCACCAGCACATCATCTCCGTTCTTGGTGCCCCTGGCTGGAAGGTTACTGTACTCAAATGAGATGGGCATCATGAACCACAAAAGTGCAGCTCTCAGTGTCGGCGGCTCTGGCTTGAGTGCCAGGGCCCTTGGCCCCTTCTAGGCAACTCCCAGGAGCTCTTGGTGGCTCCTCATACTGCTCCTCAGCAGCCCAGGCCTGGGGTCCCCTTGGAGGCTGCCTGGGGTTCCAACAATGCCTGCTGCTCTCTGCTCTTCAGGGCTAGCAGTCCTTGGTGCAGCCTTGTCACCCCACGTGGCCCCCAAAACATCATGCGCTTTACTGGGCAGGGCACGGGAGCCCTCCTGGAACCTGAGGAGTATGCAGGCACGTGCCATACCTGTGTGCCAGTCCTACACGGCATCTGGAGGCTACGGGGTGGGGTCACCTACACAGACCTGCACTTCAAGCCAAAGCAGAAACCTCCCATAATGGCTGTGGGTCACCCCCTGCCACAGTGATCGCTTGGCCAAAGCAGTCTGACAGTTCCTGCATTCCCATGGAAGTGATGGGTCTGAAGTCGGGACTGCTGCCATCTTGTTGTTTTGTTTTTGGTATGGGGATCAAACTCGGGTCCTTGCACTTGTGAGGCAGGTGGCAGCACCACTGAGCTAAATCCCCAGCCTATACCACTGCCATTTTGGAAGAACCTTCCAAGTGGCTGTGTTGTCATGGCCCATCAGGGACTGGGGACTTTGAAGCAACCAGCAGTGAGTGCCAGTCCCTCCTTGGTCTCTGCCATTCAGCAGTTCCTCCACTGCTACTGAGGTGGCAACGACTCCTGCCCATGGAGCCATCACAGCTGCCACAGGGCTGTAGGAAGGTGGGAAGACACTGGGCAGAGAGGACATGGTGGCTGTCAGCCAGAAAGGGCAGGCACTGGCCTCACTCTCCCTGTCTCTCATTGGCAGGGCTGGGCACCCCACTCCCTCTTCCAGCCTGTAGTCCCCAGCCCTGGGCACGTGCCAACTGACACCGTGCTCCTGAATGCCTGGTGCAATCTTTTGCCAAAACTCTTTCCAGCTTCCCTCTTCTACTTCTAGGGACCTGAGAGATTGTGACACTGGGTCTGCCCAGGTTAATTCAGGGTGGTTTCTCCTTGTGGTGTGAGTGGCTGGGCCCAGGCAGCATGGCGTTCCATCCCTGCCCTTTTTGAGGTAGGGTCTTGCTAAGTTACCCAGACTGATCTCAAACTCTTGATTCTCCTGCCTCAGCTTCCTGAGGAGCTGTGACTACTGGTGTGCACTACAGACCCAGGATTTTTTTTTTTGGTACCAGGTATCAAACTCAGGCTCTTGGCTTGCGAGGCAGGCACTAGAACCACTGAGCTAGGCCTCCTACTTAAGGTCAGTTCATCAGGCCTCATTCCACCTATCTTAATTCACACCTGCCGCGTCAGGTAGTGTTAATAGGCTGAGACCCAGGTGTGGGCTTCTTGGGGACATTATTCTGCCACCAGCTCCTGGGGCAGTGATACCCACCAAGGTCATACACCCCACCCCATTCACGGCATCCTTCCTGGTCAGGATCCAGATGGCCAGATGCCGTGCAGTGCCAAGGGCGAGCAGGGAGGGACCAGCGGGAGGGACACAGCCCCTTCTTGGGGCTCCCTTGACCTCCACCAAGGGGCTTCACACCTGTCACTCACCCGTGCTTTTTACTCCTCTCCTACCTCCATTTCCCCTTCTCTGTGGGACACACACGGCTTACTATGAAGCTTGGTCCTTGGGAAGACAAAAAGTTTTTTCAAACTTTTATTTTCATTTGGTCCTGAGGAAGTTGGGCTATCTCCAGGTTTTACTTTTGCTTTCTGCTGTCCTGGGCATTGAGGCAAGTGGCCCCCGAGACACAGCCCAGCCTAGCAGGTTAAGACAGGACTCGGAGAGGATGCCGGGTAAGCTGGGCCCTACCAAGGACGCGCGGGCACTGCAAGCTCAGTAATTTGGCCAGAATGAGGGCTTCTGGGTGAGGCTGAAGAAAAATGTGCCCAGCTGGGGAAATGGTGCTGGGCCCTGCAGAAGGGAGGACAGTCTCGATCCGCTGTCCAGTTGGGTGTGCCTGCTCCAGGATCCCGTGTTGTTCTGTCCTGAGCTGCGGTTGCTCTGCCCAGGGCCTGGCGCTCACCGCCATGTGGGGAACCTGGGCCCTGACTACATTCACAGGACGCACTGGCAGGGACATTGACAAACAGGGCCATACCCAGCTGTCATAAGCCCTGGCAGGAAGCTCTCCATGTGGCATCAGCTGGAAGCCCTGCCCAAGGGGCAATTGGGCCATTGGTGACGTCCCAGGAGCCACCAGAACAGCCCCTTCTGGGAGGTGTGACATAGGCACCAGGTCAGGCCTTCCCGGTTCCTGGAGGCTGTGGGAGGGAGCCTTCCCCGTCCCAGGCAGGATGAGACAGCTGAACCTGTCCGCGGTTGTGGGTCCACAGTCGTGTCCTTTGCAGCCCCACCCACCATCAGGCTCCAGAGCTGACTGGACAGTGCCTGCTACTGCTCTACTCCTGGGCCACATGGAGCCCCACCAGGGCCACCAATGTCACAAAGAACCTGTCAAAACGGGATTCCCAGGCCCCACCCAGGCTGCAGAGCCCACCTCACTCCACAGCCAGGCCATCGAGAGCCGGCCCTGCGCTGCTGGCTGGTCAGGAGCAGCCACACCTCAGTGAGCCCAAGGGGGGCTTTCTACTCCCTTCCTGGTCCTCAGGAGGATCCCCCAAAGCCAGGGGCCCCCAGGTACAGCCCTGCCTCCCTGTATTCTCTCACCACTGTTCCCCATGTGTGAGGCAAGAGCCCCACCTTGCCTGCCCTGGGGCCACACCACCACCTGGCTGTCCCCAACACCCTGCCCCTGCACACCCCTCCACCTGTGATGTGAACAGCCCGCCAGCTGACAGGCCCTCCCCGTGCCCAGCCTTGCACCCAAGGCAGTGCTGTGCCCTGGCCAGTGCTCCATGCAGCCTGCAAGATGGACAAACAAGGCCATAGCACTCAGCGCTCGGGGACAACAGAGGAACAGGCACAGCCGGGGACGCACAGCCAGGACCCTGACTGCCCCCTGACGGCACAGGGTGCGTTCCCCTACTCGCCCAGGCGCACAGATGGAGGTCAGGGCCAGACAAGGGGCAGTAGCGCACCGCCAGCCCATGTGTCCATAACCTCCATTGCCACTGCCGCCCCTCAAAGCACTGCGCTGGAGACAAAAGCCAGGGAGCGGGGACAGCCTAGGCCGCAACAGGGAAGCTTCTAGGGCTTTCAAAGATGCAGCTCACCTGCCATGGTTCTGCACCACTGCGCTAGGCTGGGGCTCAGAAGCAGCCCTGGAGTCTGGGATGGTGCTGTACCCTGGCAGCACAGCATAAGGCGGTGCTGCTGGCCACAGCCCCCAGCCATGTGCAGCAGCGCTCCTGCAGACGCTGGCTGGTGCGGATGCTCTGCCCCAAACCCACAGCGGGAGCCCGCCTGCATCCCATGGTCAGCACCAAAGGCGACCCAGGCCTGGGGAACTGCACTTCCGGAGGACATAGAGCAGCAACCCCACCATGGGAGGCGCCAGACCCCCTGCTGGCGGCCCAGCAGCCTCAGGAGTTCCACAGAGCTTCGGGCGGGCAGGCTCCACCCAAGACGGTCCGGATAAGGGTGGAGGAGTGCTGGCCTCAGTCCAGGATGGTCTTGAAGTCCATGGTCAGGGCGGGGTCGGTTGCGGCCTCCAGGGCCACCATCATGACCTTGGGGAGCTTCCCACGCAGCCACGTCTGGGCTGCAAGAGTGACAGGGTTCAGGCTCCTCTGGGAGAGGGGACTGTATTCAGCCAGGCCGGGGACACGCTGAGGGAACGGGGGACAGAGGAACTCAGAGAGGGGCTTGGGGCAGCAGGGCTAAGGACGGCCTGCCCAGGTGTTGGGAGCAACTGGGGCAGGAGGTCCCTGAGGGGGGCGCACTGCCCAGGCGTTTGGTGATGGAGACAGGGCCGGGCCCTGAAGGCTGTTCCCCAGCGCACTCACCTGTCCTGAGTGGGCCGAGCAGACACCTGTAGGTGGCACGGTGACGGCCCAGCTTGAGCAGGAAGGCCTGCTGGCAGAGCCACTGGGCAGCTTCAGAGGGAAACGGGCCAGCGGCGCCCTTGGCCCCCAGAGACAGCCCTGGGGAGCACAAGGAGGCTGAGGACCCACGAGCAGGACAGCCCCACTCAGTGCTGCCTGGCCCACAGCTCCCGTGCAGCCCGGGCTCTGCGGGCAGGCCATCCACCCAGCACACCTGTGTTCTTGGCTTTCAGGATGGAGTAGCAGCAGGACACCGAGTCAGAGATGATGCGGAGGAAGAAGGAGGGGTTCTTGCACACTGGCTGGTGGAACGGCAGCTGCAGCACACAGGCGTGGAACCTGGGGTGGTGACATGGAGTGTGCTTGCACACGTGTGTGCACACATGGCACCCAGCAGTACACGGATGGTCTCCTGGTGAGAATGCACTCCTGGGGGCACCGCACACACCTGTGCATGTCAGTGTGCACACATGTGAATTACACATGCACTGCAAGCATGACGTGCACAAACACGTGTTGTGTGTCACGCTCTCATCTGTGCAGCTGTCATTCGACAAGGCTCCGCCATACGCCATGGGAGTCTGTGTCAGCCCGCCAAGCCCTGGAGGAGGAGCCAGGCTGAGGGTGCGAGGGCAGGCACTCAGGCTAACTTCTGGGCACAACTCCCTTCTGCTCCACACTGAGGAGCTGGGACAGTGGTCTTGTGCCACGCCAAGCACACCCAGCCCAGGTGTGCACCCCTGAAATCACGCCCGTATTCCAGGGCACCTACGTGCCCTGCACTCAGCCCTGGGACCAGAAGGGCCCTTCAGGAGGAGGCTGTGTCTGCTACACTGGACAGCAGCTGTCTGTCCAGACCAGTGTCAGGCAGAGGCTGGGCCCCGCTGCAGGAAGCCTTGGCTGGGGCCGGTGGTGAGAGGAGGTGCCCAGGTGACACCAGAGGTGGAATGTGACCCACAGATTGTCCATCCAGCCCCACCCTGAGCACCAGTCAAAGAGAGTCCCAGGGTCCAGGCCAGAGTCAAGACAATGACGGCCAAGGCACTGCCAGTCCTCTACTGCCACCTGGTGGCCACATTGAGACCCACCTGTAGGCCTGCAGCAGGAATATCTTGTGGATGTTGATGAGCACCGTCTGCAGGCTGTTCACCTGGCGCAGGGACAGAGTGTCGGCAGTGCCCGGGGGCGGCGGGCAGAGCGAGGGATGCGTCGGGGAGAGGCCGCCTCTCTCCCTGGAAGCCCAGCCACGCGTCACCATTCAGGAAACGGAGCAGAGGCAGAGCCACCGTGGGGGTTCAGAGCTGGGAACCGTGCTGTGAGGACCCTGGACAGCTGGGTGAGCAGCGATGAGGTCCTGACCCAGTCGCACACACGACATCCAGCCGAGGCCACCACCCACTCACCTGCAGGTCCAGGAAGAGAGCGTGGCACTTCAGCCGCAGGACGGCCAGCAGCTTGCGGCGCATGCTCCACCCTGCCCTGACGCCTCGGTCGAAGGTGAGGCTGGCCCTGATGGACGTCCGGGCGTAACTGCAGCAGAGTGGGGCATGAGGGGCCTGGCCTCTCCGTGCAGCCAGCTGCCTGTCTGGGACCTGGTGCAGGCCACTCGCTCTGTGGCCCACAGCACAAATGGAGTCTCTGGGACCTAGCAGTGTCAACTCAACCCCAGCCCTGCACTCCACTGACACCTTTGTTCCCTCACCAGTAACACACCCGGCTGCCAACACCCACAGGACCTGGCCAGAGTGCAAATCCCAAAGAAACGCCAAGGCCCAGCCCGCGCAGAGAGGACGTGTCGCACTTCCAGGCTGAGGCCTAGAGCCTGGCAGCCAGATCATCTGCTCCAGGCTCACAGGGGCCTCCCTTGTCCTCGTGACATGCAGTCACAAGGCGAGACTCGCACGGGACATAAAGGCACGTGGCTGTCCCTCAGCCTCCAGCCTGCTCTCCTCACGCACCCCATATGTGCAATCCACTTGGAGACGCACTCTCACACCCAGCCTTTGCACACCAAGGCCGAATACGCTCTTCCTTTGCATCCTTGAATGCTCCCAGGAAATGGCAGGTTCCCTGGTTGATGGCAGGGGCATCAAATGAGTCCTATGTGGCGGATACCGGAGTTCTCTCCCCGGCTGAGCATGCGGTGTGTGGGTGGCTCTGGCACTGGGATGGTTGGGGGAGCTGTGCTGCGTAGAAGCCCCGGAAGGCATACAAACACCGCAGGAGCCACTTTCGAGAGACACTGCCCACAGGCTGGCGTGAGTGGGGGACAGCACACGTGTGACACTCCCTCCTGCAGCACCGCAGCAGGCCACAACTCGCAGTGCCACCTTCCCAGCTGGCCCAAGCCTCCGCCCTGGGCCTTCCTGGAGGGCCGTGGGTGGTGGGAGGCAGGGGTCCAGGTGATGGGGCGTGCCCCACACCAGCCAGGTGACCAGGCCATGACACCCGAGCCCGGTGGCCCAGCCACTCTCACCACACAGGAAACCTGAGGCGACACAGACGCCCAGGCCACGTCAGTGAGGGGAAGGTCAGAACTCCTCCCTTCTGAGATGCTGAGAACCACCGTGCGGAAAACTTGCTTCTCTTTTCTCTGGGTCTTTTTTGTTCTTTCTCCTACTGTCCTTGTTTGTATTCAAATCCTTTTCTACCAGGATTTGTTCTGGTCTATGCAGCAAGTGAAAGACATTAACTTCTTTCCCATTAGCTTTCTTTGGAAAAAAATTAAGCCATCAACCCCTTTCCGTGGACTGCGCCATGTAGCAAACCAACCCAGGTCACCTTCCGTGGCTGCTGCATCTAAGGAGCACGCCACCTGCAGGGTGGTGACAGTGAGGAAAGACCGCATGTCTTCTGACCGCCTGTCCTGGTCATTCTCCTTGAACATCATCGCGTGACCTCTGCTGACAGCACTCACAGAGCCTCAGGTGTCGTGAGCCACCACAGACGACCAAGAGGGGTTAACTGTCCTGACTGTGGCGTCCTTGGGGGTCCTGGCATGAACGCCCTGAGTCCCAGGGGGCGGCTGTGGAACACCACTCGGTTCTCCCATCTTGCTGGTCGCCCCTCACACTGCCACCTGAGCTGCAGCCTGCCGACTACTCTCCCTTCTACAGAGGCTACCTGGCCATCTCACCCAGGTGTCCCTCTCAACGTCCCAAGGGAGCACTGTGGCCGGGCCAAAGGAGGGTTGAGGGCCACAGCCTGCCAGTCTGGGGTCCAGCAGTGCCACGCCTGCCCTCCCTCCACTCAGGAGGCCCCTTCCTGAGAGCACGGTGGGGACAGCAAGTCCAGCTCTGGGTGACAAAGCCCAGGCAGCTGGAGTCACCAATGTGAGGAGCTATGAGGCCTCCACCGTGGCTTTTGGATTTTGTCACTCATAAAAGCAACAGCCTGGACTTTTGCATCTGATTTCCTAAATTTCAAGCGGTGCGGGGGCCTCGGCTAGGGTTGGGGACACACGGTATGCCCCAGTCTGTGCAACGTCTTCTGCCCCCAGTTGGGAACGGTCACCCTGAGGCTTCTGACACCCGGGGCCCACAGTCCACTGCTGGGTACAAAAGGGGACAAGGACAGGGCTGCCTGCTGCCCCGCCAGGAGTACATACCTGGCATAGTCGCAGCGCACCTCCAGTGTCCTCGTGTCCAGCAGCAGGCCACACCAGGGGAACAGGCAGTGCGCAGGCAGCTGCAGCGGGGCGGGGCCGTCCAGGACGCCGTCCTCCACGGGGAAGTTCACCAGCGTCTTCTGCAGGTTCAGTGTGCAGCCGTACTCTGGGACTCCGCGGACAAGGGTCCTGGGGCAGAGCAGGGGTGAGCTGCAGGGCGAGGCCATGCCCGGGACCTCGAGGTTCTCTAGGCCACGACGTGGGTCCCCAGTGTGGGTCCACAGTGGGAGTCGGAATCAGGTAAGACGGGAGGACTGAGCAGGGAGCCAGCTGAGAATGGGAGCCGGCGGACCTCGGACGGATCTCAGGCGTCCACGTGGCAGGCCCTGTCCCAGTGACCCGCACACTCCCTGGGCACCACTGTGAGGGCTGTGTGTGGTCAGCGTCCACCTTGGCTGGCTCTAAGGAAGGGACTTCCTACCCGAGCATGGCCCTCCTCCGTGAGTGTCCCCTACACGTTCCTTCCCCGGAGGTGACAGCACCCACTGCACAGCCACCAGCCCCTACCCCAGGGAGGCTGCCCTGCATGGTGACCTCTGTCTGCCACTGCACAGTGGAGTCTGCGCTACATCTCTTGTGTGTCCCCCTCAGTGCCCCAGCTGCCCCACCTCTAGGACCCGACAGCCACTCAGAGCCACAACCTGGACCAAGACCCTCTGCCCAGAGCTGTCCCCAGAGCTCTCTACAGTGTCCTCTGCCCCTGGGGTCACTGCCCTGTAGCTCTGGAGCCCTGTGGCCGTGGCAGAGCTGCCTGAAATTGACCCCATCCCCTCAGCAATCCTATCAGGTGCCACCTTGTGGAGGAGGACACAGAGCCCAGCACCCGGTGGGTTTGCACTGCAGATTCCCCGTGGCAGCCAGAAACACCTCTGAGGTGGCGAAGGTCTGAAGGTTAGCTCTCAGCACTTCCACGGTTCTCCTCCCTTGTAAAGTCGCCCTGGAAAGGTCAGAGCCACAGAGCCCACAGGTGCCTGGGTGGGGCCTCAGGCTACGAGCCCTGCTCCCTGGCAGGGTCACTCAGGCTGGTCAACTCTAAGGCCAGCCCTTGGGTGTACAGTGACCAGTGCACTGCTCTGTCCTGAAATCTCACACTGCACCCCGTCATTGTGCAAAGACTCCCAAACACTCCAAACGCAAATCACCACCATTGAGTGAGTCCTACTGATCCCAGGTTGCTGGGCTGTGGGAGGCACCCAGCTACTTCCTTGCTCAGTGTGGAACGAAACCTTTTGCCTGCAGGGTGTGGCCACACCAGGAGCATGCGCAGGCCTGGGTGTGATCTGGGTCCCTGCACACAGCCCTCCCAGGACGGAGCTCTGGGCAGTGTCTGCACTCGCTCAGCCTCCAGCCAGCAAGCTTGTGCATGACTCGGGAGGCGCAGGGCCACACTGTCTCAGCGCTCATAGGCATCTCAGCCTCTCCCTCTGCAGGCAAGGTGCCCTCACGGTGCAAGAAGGACGCTGCCAGTCGGGGAACACTTCAGCCGTGGTGCACAGCACACTGGCGAATGAAATGAGTCACCGCTGCATACACAAGTCATAAACGCGGCGTGACCAGGGGTAGGGTCCTTACCCAAGGAAGGCTTTCGCCTGGGCCAGGTGAGGTGTCACCAACAGGAAGTCATCCACCAAGCGCAAGAGCACCCTACGACAAGGAGGCCCGGAGAGGCTCCCATCACACGCCTGACACAGACTGCCAGGACCCGACATCAAAGACCCAGGCCCCTGAATTCACGCAGAGAAGAGTCAAAGGCTACTCTGGAAAGAGGGTACAGCACCTCAGGTTCCTTTAGCCAACATCAGTGTCTTCACTGCCAAACCAACCGTTTGCAGACAGGCGCCCAGGGTAGCCCAGGTGTGGGATCTGCCTTGGCCAGAGGCAGACTCACAAAGCTGCCCTCTCAACTCTGTCCCACGGGGAAGTGACTGAGTTGGGGTTGTGCGGAGATGGGTACCCTGCCCTCTTCTAAGCCTCGTGGGGCCTCTGCCCACACAACTGTGTGGTCCTGGGAAGCCTGCACCCCTCACTGGGTGACCTCCAGGGGACCCTGATTCAGCCTTCATCCCAGCTGATGGCCACACAGTTCACAGTCAGCCGGGGGAAGTCCTCCATGCTCCTGACGAGGCTGTGCTGGCAGAGTTCAATTTTCTCCTTTTACCTAAATGTGTGCCAATCTGGAGCTTGAACATTAATTAAGAACCTCTCTGTCGATGACAGTGTCAGAACTGGGCTTTAGAGGATGCCCTGGAAACCCAGGACGGGAAATGACCGCTGTGTGCACCTGGTCCCCTCCGGCCTGTCCACGTCTGGCCAGACCACAGGCTCCCACCAAAGTCAGCTGCTGTCAACCCGACAGGCGGGAGCTCAGCACTGCTGGGCTTTAAGCCCAGTCCGATGGGTCGGTGACAACTCCACACGTGGTCCAGGTCCTGCACACAGGGAAAGGCATGCCGAAAGCCTGACTGCCAGCCACGGGGCCACGCAAGGCTGCAGGCGACTGCCCCGGCAACACCTAAGGGGCAACGGCCTGGCCTGGCGCCAGACAAAGCGACTGCAGTACCAGCGCCCAGGAGGCACGGGGGCCACACGCCCTCGGGAGCGGGGAGGGCCCTTACCCGTCCCGCTGCACCCCGGCGAACAGCGCGTTCTCCATGTCCCCGTAGCAGAGGCTGCAGAGCAGTGTGGACAGGATGGAGCCCTGGGGGATCCCCCGGCCCTGGACGTAGCACCTGGGGTGAGGGTTAGAAATGGGCGGGCACAGTGGGGTTATTGCTCACACCCAACAGATGTGCACATGCACAAAGACACGTCGCACACATGTGCACACTCATCTCCAGCCAGGACACCGAGGCAGGGGGAGATCAAGAGCCCTGAGGTCCCGAGCAGGGGCACGGGGACAAGGGGAGTGGTCGGCCCAACTCACCTACCCCCGATCCTCAGGATGCTGCCTCGCAGGAAGCGCAGGAAGAAGCCGAACAGGCTGCAGCCGGTCTCATCCAGAGAGCAGCTCTGCAGAAGTGAAGGACAGAGGGCCCAGGTGTGAGAAGCAGCGGCCCCAGGCCGTCACAGACACTCCTTCTGGGGCTGGGCAGGCCGAGGCCCTACGTCTGGGTCCCTGGGGGCCACAGGAACATGGCCCAGGGCCTCAGCATGATTCAGTGGGCACGATCACCCCCTACCACTGGAATGCGTGCCAATGCAGGCTCCGGAAGGAGCTGTGGGCCCTGAGTGGACCACCCAACCCCGGGCTCGGCCAACTGCAGGGGCATCAGTCAGATCCAGCTGGTCCTCCCAAGGAAGGGCGTGAGGTCAAGATCGAGGGAGACACTGCCACCAAGTCACCAACAAGGTGAAGGGGTCCAGAGAGATGGGAAGAGGGAAGAAAATGGGTGCTGAGGCGGCAGGCCCGGGTCACATCCCCAATGCCGCAGTCAGCCCCCGGTGAGAAGAGAGACCCTCCCTGCAGACCCTTGCCGGGAATGCGGGACCTGCTCAATGACCACGGCGTCCCTCAGCCCGCATTCCTCCTGCAGGTACTCCACAAAGCGACTCATGTACGGCTGGAGGTCGGAGAGGGTGGAGACCTGCGGCAAGAGGAGGAAAGGCATGGGACGCCAGCGACGTCACCAGTCCCACGCCCGATGGGCAGAGGTGCGGACGGCCTGAGAAGCAGCGGCTGCTGTGAACAGGGGTGGGCGCGCTCTGGGGCACACCCACACCAGGGCTACACCTCGGGAGACAGGGTAAAGAACAACACTGTACCCCAAGAGGACAGGGAAGGGCCGGGGATTTAGCTTAGTGGTTTGGTGGCCCGCCCCGCAAACGCAAGGACCTGAGTTCGATCCACAGAACCAAAAAAATAAAAGAAGACAGGGAAGAGGACACAGGGCAAAACCCAAAGAGTAGAGAGCAGGAGAAAGGCAGCCTTGAAGTCATCCTCCGAGACTACTCAGTGGGGGCGCTGGCCACATTCACGGGCCAGGAAGTGGGCCGCTGGTGTCAGGGCTGACGGCGGGGGGACCTCACAGCATCGAAGGGAAATGAATCCATGGTTCCGGGGAACCCAAGTGTCCCAGCAGGTGCCGGCCATACCCAGGAGTGAGGACTCCCAAGCCAAACAGGAGCCCAGGGGAAACTCCCACACTGACTCACCCACAGCCTGGGAGATGCCCAGCCACAGAGCCCACGCAAAGGACCCCAGACCTGAAGGTGAGGCTGAAACAACCACTCTGCCTTGCAGGTCACCCGCAGAACAGACACGGGCATCACTAGACCTGGCCGCTGTGCACACGAAAGGACCCTGCCCAGGACTGACAGCAAACATTGAGAAGGGGTCTGGTGGGAGGCGGCGTCCCCAAGGCGTAATGAGCACACAGAGCCAGCACCAGCAAGCAGGGAGTGCTGTCAGGACGTACCAAACAACATTCCGAAGCGGGCGCATGGGGGGGCTGGGAAAATGGTTAACAAGATGCCTGGTGGCTCTTGGTACCTGGGGCCTGGCCACAGACTGAGGCGCCAATATGTACACTGTCATCTCAAGTGCATGCAGCACACGTGGGAGGGGAACTGGACAACTACCAAAACCAGTGTGGCAGCTCCACTCCTGGTCCAGCCACCAGTGGGGCTCTGATGCAGCAGGACATCCCGGCAGGGCCACACAGAACAGCCCAGGCCGGAAGCCCAAGTCCACTGTGGTGGGCAGCACAGAGCACAGCTAGTGCTCACCCCGGGACTTGGCCAGGAGCAGGAGGGAACCCAGGGATCAGTGACCTGGGACAGCGCCTCATGTGGTGGAGAACTCCCGCCCACCTTGTCTCAGGAAAAGCAGAGCACCCGGGGCTGTCCGTGCTGCCCAGGCCGGAGTCTGGGAACCCCCACAGTGCAGGCCCACAGCCGGAAGAGAGGACCTGGACATGGGTGGCGACAAACCGGGCCACCAGCATGTTGGGACAGGGACAGAGGGCACCTCACTACGATCCCCATGGAGGGAGTCAGGCCCCACATGCCCACACCTGACACATGCCACGGTCACGCCCACACCACGGACATTAAGTCACGATGCACACCCCACACTGACCAGCCCCAGCACACTCCACGCCTGCCTTACGTGTCTCCGGAAAGCCCTGCGTGTGCGTCCCCTGCTCTGCACCACAGTGTAGCGGCGGACACAGTACGTGTTCTCCCAGGGCCTGAGGACACTGGCCACCACCTCTGCGACTTTGTCCTGCGGGAGGGCATCATATGCCCCGGACACGTCTGCCTGTGGGGTGCAGGAGGGCCACTGAGCACCGCCTCAGGGCCAAGGGTTCAGGCCACTAGTGAACCCCAAAGGGCGTGTCAGGGACAGGGACCACAGGACACACACCGCCCCACCCAGCCACACCATGCTTTCTTCGGCTCTGCAGGAGCCACATCCACACTGACCACCCAGAGGCGGGGCAGGGTGTGTCCCTCTCTCTGACCCCGTGCTCCCCCAAGCCTGGTGGCTGAGTGCTCCTTTCTCTGAAGTGGTCCTGTGTCCAGGAGATCCTGCCTGAGCTAGGGGCTCCCAAGAAGTTGCAGTACAGACCCAGGACCCCATCAAACTCTCTGTCCTAGGGCCTGGGCAGGCCCAGAAGGGGATAGGATTCGCTCAGGACAGAATCCAAGCCCACTAGGCCCAGTGTTGGAGGAACCCCAGGGTCACCTGCACTGGCCATTCCCAGGGCCTGGCTGGCCTGGGAGCTTGATTGGACGTGTAGCGGGGGCAGCACTCACTTTGACAAAGTACAGAAAGGGCGCGGGGTCCTGGGCGCGCACACGCAACACGAAGTCCCTCCAGGCCCTGTAGGTGTCATCCAGGCCCAGCACAGAGGCGCCCAGGAGTGTGGGCCGCCTCACCCGCTCATAATTCAGCACGCTGAACAGGGTCCGGATGCACGGGGTGAACTGCTGGGCCTGGAGTTGAGGCACCACATGGACCTTGGTGGCCAGAGAACCCACAGTGCCCTTTGCACCACGGCAGGGCTCCAGGGTACTTTGAGGCCTGTGGCCGTGGCAGGAGCAGCCCCCTGGGCTCTTGAGCTGCCCCCTCCTGCCAGGGCCCCCATGCCAGCCTCCACACCCTGGAGAAACCAGCCCTGCCTTCCAAGCATCCCTGCTCAGGGCAAGGGGAACACAGTCACCTTCCTCTCCCCACGGGAGGCTCTGGTGCCCACCACACAGTCCGTGTTCACGATGGGTCGGAGCCCGCTAAGCTTGGGGACGAAGCGGAGCCTGGACGTGGGAAGGGCCGGCCGGGCCTCCCGGTGCTGCCTGAGCTCCACAGTTGATAGCTCCCGCAGCTGCACCCTCTCAAAGTGCTGCCTGGAACAGAGGGTGAGGTCAAGGAGTCCACAGGTCAGCCCCTGGTGTGGAGGTTTGCATGGGGGCCTGGTGGGGGGGCTAGCAACAGCGCCCGTCCCAGGGTCCCTTCTGGCTATGGTGTCTCTGACACCACTGGGCGCAGCAGGACTTGGGGCTCCTTTTGCCAATGTAGTGTCTCAGCACAAAGAGCAAAGAGTCCCTAGTGCAACTGCATCCCAAGGTGCAGACGCTGAGGCTCCAAAGCCGGAATTGGGCTGCCAAAGACTCCAGGAGCACTGAGCATCAGAATGCAGCACCACGAAGTGGCGGTGGGGCTGCACTCTGCCAGCCTCTCCAGGGCCCATTGGGTACACGTGCGACCTGCTCTGACACAGCCCCTCAAGCAGACAGCACGGAGTCCAACGCCTGGGTCAGAACAGCATCGGCCAGGGCCGAGGCCTCAGGGCTTGCTGCGCAGCTTCTGTTCAGAACACATCCCTCCACCTCAGGGGTCCTGGGGCAGCCCCGCCCAAACCCCTGGCTTCACAGGCCACCAGCGCCAGGACCGCCATAGTCCCCACCTGACCCACAGGGCGGGGCGCAGGGCACCCCCAGAGCTGAGACTCCATGAGGACCACCACACCTGACCCCGATGCTCTGCAGCTCCCTCCACAGGCTCCTGCGGTAGAAGAAGAGCCTGTTCCTCTGGAACGTGGTCTCCGTGATGTAGAAGAAGGACCTGAGCAGCTCGACCACACACGTGTCCATTAGCCAGAACAGAAAGGTGGCCAGGAGCCGCTCCCGCAGGCGGTGCTCTGAGGCAGGGACACAGGCGCCCCCTGAAACGAGAGGGACACAGGCACCTGGCAAGCCGGCCCCGCCCCTCACCCCAGTGCTGGGACACAAACTGTACAACCTGGGCTCTGGACCTGGGGAGGTCCTCAGATTGATCACACTGCTGTGTCCGGCTCTGACAAGATTTGAATGGCATCGCTTCAAATCTCACAAAAGGCCCAGCTTCTGTTCCTACTGAGCGACAATGACTTGGGTCTCCTCGGCGGCCCTGTTTGTGAGCACGTGGACACACGTGCCCGCCCCCCCGCATAGTGCTGGCAGCCAGAGGCAAGGGCCTGCAAAGTCCTGCAGCCATGGCAAAGGGAAAGAAGTGACGGGGGAGCCTCTGGGCAGAAGAGGCAGGCTCAGAGCTCGGGCCTTTTATCCAGTATCTTCAGAGTAAGGCCAGACATGTCCAAAGCTGCACCTCTGGGCTGCCAGAGAGCACCAGGCAGGCAGACCGCCTGGCAGAACGTCTAGCTGACCGGGTCTGCACTGGCTGCCACTCCACACGGGGTGGGAGGTGACCCTGTGCAACATGTGGCATGGCAAGCAGACAGGCTGGCCGAGAGGGCCCAGCATACACACCAAGTCCAGACAGCAGGCTGTGGCTGTCCTTGCCCTGCAGCAGGCTCCCCACTCTTTCCCAAAGAAAAGATGGGTCCTCTGCTCAAGGACAGCATTCACATCTGCTCCCTCTGCCACACCGTGAGAACGTGGGATGCACACCTGCACACTGGTGAGCAGAGGCACCCTTGGGACCCAGAAGCCTCTCCTCCTACTCAGATGTGCACCTCCCATTTCTGCCACCTCTCCAGACCAACCTGGAGGTCACCCGGGTTATGAGCACCTGCCACTGTCAGCAGAGCTCCTTCCACCCCAGGTCACTCTCCTTCAGCTCCTGTGCTCAGGGCCTAGAACCTGCCTCAGGCGGGAAAGCAGGAACCTGAATCTCCTGGGCTTGTGACCACCTGACCATCGACCATCCAGGGACTCACCTGGGCTCGCCCGCAGCCACGCACAGTCCTGCACTTTCACCTTCCACGTGAGCTCCCGCAGAGACAGCTTCCCATGCTTGCCCAGGGAGAGGAACCTCTTCGTGCACCGCAGGAAGCGGCGCTCATTCCGCCTGGAGCCCCAGAGGCCAGCGGGCACCAGGCGGTGCAAGCAGGCTCGCAGGAAGGCGTACACCTGCCAAGCGCTGCAGTGCGCACGCAGCAGCTGAGCCAAGCGCTGCGCGCCCGCGTCCCCATCCGGGTTGGCCGTGACTCGCAGCGGGCAGTGCACGTGGAGCAGCGCGCCATAGGGGCACCGCGCGTGGTTGGCGAGCAGCTCACGGAACAGGGGTCGCATCCGCCAGTAGCGCGGAGCCAGGCGGCGCGCGCGAGAGCGACGTGGTGGCCCGGGTTTGGCGGGCGGTGAGCCCAGGAACACGGCCTCCACGAGCCTGCGCGCCCCGGTCATGTTGGGGGGCAGCGCGCTGAGCACGAAGGAGGGGCGCATCCGCTCCGCGCCGCCGCCCAACCGCGAGCAGAGGAAGCGCTTGGTCTCGGCGGCCTCACGGGGCCCCGCAGTGTTTTTGCTCCTCGAAGGGGACGGCTCGCCCTCGACGGACGCGGCTCGGAGCTGCACAACGCGCGGCTGGCCGGTTCCGGCGGGGCCGCGCCTGGCCTTTTTCGGCGGGATCGGACCGGTGCCTACGCTGCAGGTGGGGACACGGCGCAGGGACCCGAGAACCGACCGGGGACAGGGCGCGCGGCGCAGGGACGCTGTGGGGGGGCTAAGCTCGTGCAGCGGCTGCCCGCACACCTGGTAGGCACAGCTGGGCGCCACCAGCTGGTAGAGCGCACAGCGCGACAGTAAGTGGGCCAGCACGTCATCGCCCAGGCGGCTCAGCAGCAGTCTCCAGGCGCCGCTGC